TGATCGTACGAAACATATTGAGATTGATAGGCATTTCATTAAAAAGAAGCTGGAAAGTGGAGTCATTTCTATGCCGTTTGTGACTTCTGAGCAACAAACAGCTGATGTTTTCATCAAGGGAGATTTCATACCAAAGTTTAAATCATTCATTAACAAGTTGGGCATGATCAATATTTACGCACCAACTTGAGGGGAGGTGTAAAAATATGAAAAGAATTGACTGCACATCTTTATTATTATTACTGCATATTTTTAGGATTTATTATTGCAAATTTTTAGGATTTATTATTGCATATTTTTATGATTTATTGTTGTAATTTTTAAGAGTTATTACTATTGATTATATAGTTATTTACTCCTAAAATTAAGAAGATTAAATGGATATAAAACTCTATAAACAGAAATTTCCATTGACTACTTTCAAGTATTAAATCACACAGCACATTCACGACATTCTGAAGCTTCATCTGCATCTTGAATTCCTTTATTCTTTTATTATTTAAGCTCAAAAGCAAAAAAAAAAATAGAAAAAGAAATATTATTCTTCCTCGATAAGCACACTCATATTCAGACTCTGGCATGCAGGACTCAACAGATAAATCCAGGATCAATCTAATGCCTCGTCTTAGCCGAGAAAAACTGAGAATTTGAAGCCATCTTGGTTTTAGTTTCCACAGATTTTTTTCCCCTAAAAAGCTTGTCTTTTTTGCAGTAATACGTAAAAAGGTGTAAAAAGCATACCACGTCAATGTATAATTTAGATGGTCCTGTGGCATGACTGAACTGCGTATCAAGGTATTTACATCCTTCGGAACTGGGTAAGGGTTGCTTGGGTTGACGTTTTCATTAATGTCCTCAATGTAGATGGTATCTCCAGGAAGTCCAGAAGCACGAGCAATTGCAGGAACATCAACATAGAACCACTGAGAAGAATCTGGTTCATTTGCTGGAACAAATATGCTAGGCCTCTCACTCCCACGAATTACTCCAACAACTTCTACAAGAGTAACAGCATGAACTTGATCCTGCAAAATGAGCACAACTTTGTGTCTTCAGAATTACTCTGCCACAATTTACAGCAAGCAATGGATCATGCAACGACAAGGTACTACCTCAACATTTTCAGGCTTCTTTGACCAAAACTTCCACCAGGAGCCTCTATCACTGTGTGCAAGGGAAAGAGATGCTTTATTTGAAGGCTGCTCTGCATCTTTAGAAACTTCCTGAGGTTTTTCTCTCCAGCTACGGGGAACCCATCCCCTATTGACCAGAATTGGTGACTGCACACTGAATTAAGAGGAGCTGATGTAGCCAGAATGAATCATAACCAACACCACAAATGCAAATAGATGTATATACATTCAAAACATATATACACATGCATAAAAAAATTTGATATTAGTGTTAAAAGATTACCAAACACATATGAAGACAGTCGTTGAGATTTTGAAATTTTCGAGATCTTTTGCAGGATGAAGTTTGAAAGTGCTAGACTAATCAAAAGTTCAATTATTGGTTCCAGCAATACCATGAAGTGCATTTGAATTGTGAAAGTAAACGTATAGGCATCATTACCAATTCCTCACTTGAGTTGCAACAATCAAATTCAATACATGAACTTAAAAGTGTAAGATACAACTTCTTCATTAATTTATACACACACATGGGCGTACTTACAAATAGAAAACCAATAAAGTTCCTGCCATGTATAAAAGTAATCTTTCATCACTTTGCTAACTACTTGCATTTTTTATTCAGAATTCAGAGTCCTTCAGTCTTTTCTGGTACTTCTATATGGAAATTCCAAGTTGCTATAGCCATACACTAATTTGTTTTTTTTTTCCTTTAAAATGTTAGAGATTAATCCTCCATGCTTGTTCCCAGTGCTTGTCAGTTCTTTTTTGCCACCACATATATGAATTACATACTCATCATACAGATGATTGTAAATGTAGCAAATCTCATAAGACATGTTTTTAATAAGAAAATCATGTTGTCTTGCAAAGAGTGGAACTTTTAACTAACCCATACAAAGGTAGTAAGGTATTTTCCGTCCCTTAGATATCTAAGCAGAAAAGCAAAAATACTTTTCATGGCAATTTAATCAAGAATGAGAAACTAGTGAACAGTTGATGCAGGACCAACGCCAAACAGGTGCACCTAGTGGACATTTTTTGGTTATACACCTAACAGAAAAAGGTTGCCATCACCCCAAAAACAAGAAAACCAAACATATAATCTAACCGTGTATAACTAAAGTATAATAAACTATTTCTCCTAATTTAGTAATATCCACAATAAAAAAAAAAGTATTAACCAAGCACAGACTTCAAGGGAAAAATGGCTTCCTAACCATTCATCATAAAGCAAAAGTATGAAATGATGATGCCACCCTCACCTCTCAGGATTGTTTGGGAGTGGCATTAAGGGGGTAATTACATAGTAACCATTCTCAGTCACGCCTGAAATGCTTCTAGAACGTGGACCAACATAGATTGATTTTCCCTCATCAAAAATTCCTTTGACTACCACCCTTCTAAACTCGAGGGAATCCAAAGTTTCACTTGCAAGAGATGTGCTATTGAACTTCATTGGTTCCATTTCCAGCCTCCTCTGTATGTAGTCCAATGTCTTTATCTGTATGGAAGAAATCTTGTCAGAAATGTAATCATCCAATAAGACTAAACAAAATGAACAAAGATGTAGAAGTGGATAGAGCAGAAATTTGATGTCATGTCGAACCTAGCAAAATCTTCAACTAACAGCAAGGTTGAGTTTGGTTCAAATCTCAATTTCATGGTACATGAATAAGAGTAATTCAAATAGGATAAGAAATTGAGTAAAAATAACATTCTAATTTCAACCCAAGTCCATATTCGATTCAAGTTAGGTGTTTTTGTGAGTATTTCATTGACAAATGGGAGCACAAATCCATCATTGGAGAAGTTAAGATATGAGCAAATTTAATTTAGTTATACATCAACTATGTAAATTATGACTACCTTCATCTAATCAAATAATTAAGATCTAGGAACTAAACAGGCATATAATAAGTTTGAATCAAATGCCTATAAAAGTAAAAAAGAATAATTGAATTCACCTAAACCATCACCAAACAAGATGAGGAAATCTATGAAATTTTGACCAAAAAATAAGTAAATCAATAAATAAAATTGCAAAAAGTACCCAACTTTTGAAATTCATTAGACCTATAAAGCACACATCTCCTTAGTGGTTGTTTCACCCCGTCCCAGACCACCAAGTGACACCTTCTCTTATCTTCTGGGGTGTCCCACAATAAGTTACATTATATTCTCTCTCGTCTTTTAGCCACACTGAGCGAGATTGTTGATAGTAACATCATATAAATAAGGGTACTAGTAAGTGTAGTATTTATTAGAGTCAACCTTCCATTTTTAGAAAGTAAACTCCTCTTCCACCATGCTAGTCAAGATTTAAACATGTTTACCACAAGATTCCAGGTAGCAAAATCCTTGAACTTCGTTCCTAAAGACATACCCATGTATCTAATAGGAAGATTC